AATATATGTTCCCTTAGCAGGGTTCGAACTCGCAATTAACCTCACTACTTGCCGCCGTCTTCACTCAACAGCCACAACAGCCACAGCAGCCACAAAAAAACATGTAAGCGGTTCTAGTCGGGAGATAACGACTAAAGAATACCCTGAACCCTCTTATTCCAACAACAAATAAATTAAAAAAAGTAGTTCCCTTGGCAAGGTTCGAACTCGCAGCTGACCGCATTACTTGACTCTACACCAGCAAAAAAAAAATATTTTCCCCGGTAGGGCTCGAACTCGCGACAGACCGCACCACTTGCTATGGCTCTATTCAGCAGCCACACCAATAATTAAGTACTCGTGATAAAAAAAGAAATTAAATAGCATTACGGAAAAAATCACGAATGCGAAGCAGACGCGCATGAATGTGCTTATGTACATGCATACACAAATTCTTGATGTTGTAGCTAGCAACCCTATCCAATTGCGCAGTTGCATATAACTTTGGTTTTTTCTTAACCGATCTTTATTAAATTTTCTACAGTATATCTTATTGTACCATAGAATATTTGTGTATTCTGAAAAAGTCAATTGCATTTAAATTGTGGTTTAAATTCGTTGGCAATAAAAGTTGGGTTATTAACTTGATTTATTTATTATCTGTGGTGGTAGCGGGGAGGTGCCGATAGGTATAAAATGAAAGATTTCTGACATATATATAATATTCTAGAAGCAAATTATCATGTTTGGTGGCTCTAGCTCTTATTAATTACCCAATTCGCTAATAAAACAGGATGTCGATATCGATTTGTATCGGATGCTTGTAAACAGAGTAAGTTATCGATTATCGGTAACAAAACGATCTGCGCAGGCACTAGGAGGACCTACAGCTAAAATTTCAGTCACTTGTTCCTATAGGTTCTAATATCCTTACATTCCTACATACGGACCTATAGACAGACAGACGCATATGGCTAGATCGACTCGGCTATTGATGCTAATCAAGAATATATATACTTTATGGGGCCAGAGATGCTTCCTTCTGCCTGTTAAATACGTTTACATTTTGCCCTTTTTATCCATTTCTAATGGGTTCAGGGTATAAAAATTGGTATTTTCAAGTTTTTGTTAATGAACAATCTATAAAATATACCTGTTCGGACATATACCTCATATATACATTAGTCAGGGTATCAATAGCAATGTCAAAGCAGATTATGTTAAGATTATGCTAATTCTCTTCTATTTGAATGCCATAAGCACTCATACACATATACGAAGCCTCGCTCTCTTTCGAACTCTATAATTGCTCGGTCCCTTAAATCTTAATATATGTTAAGAAATCAGTTCTGTAAGCATTATCGTAGAAGTCAGTCGTGTTGCTCATCAATTTGTAAAACCTTTATTAAAACTTCATAATTGGTATTTTCAAGTTTTTGTTAATGAACAATCTATAAAATATACCTGTTCGGACATATACCTCATATATACATTAGTCAGGGTATCAATAGCAATGTCAAAGCAGATAATGTTAAGATTATGCTAATTCTCTTCTATTTGAATGTCATAAGCACTCATACACATGTACGAAGCCTCGCTCTCTTTCGAACTCTATAATTGCTCGGTCCGTTAAATCTTAATTTATGTTAAGAAATCAGTTCTGTAAGCATTATTATAGAAGTCAGTCGTGTTGCTCATCAATTTGTAAAGCCTTTATTAAAACTTCATATCATCCACACACGCCTCCTAGAGATAAGATTCTTAAAAGGTCAAAAAAACGCTTTTGATCCAACATTTTGGCGCCCAACATTGGGGCTAGTGTGTGGAAATTGATGGCATATCGTTGCCGCACAACATTTCGTTGGAAAAAGGTTTTATCAAACTCCTCGCAAAATACAGCATCGACAGCAACATTTGGCCAGCTCTTCTTTCTTGTTGACGTTGCTTCGTCGCTGGAAACTCGCTACCTTCGCTTCGCTACTGCATTCTTGAACCCGTTACTTCGCGCTGGAAACGCTCTGAGTTTGATTGCTCATTGCCTTTGCCTTACATCTCCTTTCTCGTTGCCGTTGCTTCGCCGCTGGAAACTCGCTACCTTCGCTTTGCTGCTGCATTCTCATTCAATCAAATTATCGGTCGTGAGTACTCTCTTTCGAACATTTAAAAGTTTAATCATCTGCTGAATTGCATGAAGGGCCCTGCCCTACAGGCAGTAAAGGCATTCCAAGTGACTCAGGAAAATTATCCCAAGGCTCTTGCTCGTTTAAGTGAACGTTATGACAATCCCACACTTACATTTTTAGACACAATAGAATCACTATTCAATCTACAGCCAGTCGACAAACCGGACGGAAATCAGCTGCGCAGTCTGCTGGACAATGCGTCAGCCCTGTATTCATCATTATCGTCATTGGGTACCGGATCAGATATTGCCCAAGCCATGTTGATATTCATCGTCATCGAAAAATGTGACCAGCAAACTCGTAACAAGTGGTATGAGTCTCTTGACTTACGTACATTACCAAATTGGGCCCACTGCACAACCATTTTGGAATGTCAGTTTCTGCAATCAAGCGGCATTGCATCGTATCGAATGGCTGATTCTTCGACACAAAAACACGTGTACAAGCCTAGCAAGGGATTATCATTTGCTATTACTAATCCAACATGCATTGTTTGTTCTCAGTTTCAAGACATGAGTCCTAAGCTCAAGTACGGAGTCGTAAAAAATGCTGGACTTTGTATTAATTGCCTTCAATTAGGACATCGGATGGCTCAGTGTCCGTCTAACAATGCTGCAAGCATCGCCATCACACGCTTCTGCATTTTGGCCAACCGCCTGCATCATCATCGTCTACATCGCCAACAACGACTCCTGCTGCAACGCACTCGCATATGAATCAACCACCAGGCGGACAAATAATTCTTGCTACTGCAAAGGTACTAGTGCGAGATTCATCAGGGGCGTATAAGCAAGGCAGATCATTGCTTGACTCATGTTCCCAAGTCAATTTCATAACTGATCAATTCGCCCAACGGCTGCATCTACGCCGTGATAAGCATCATTTCGAAATCCGCAGCATAGGGGAGACCTCGACTAAAATTAACAACTGTACAACTAGTGGAATTAACTCTCGTTTGCACCATTTGAAGTAACACTATAGTTCAGCATAACGTCTCACACTGCCTACCAGCCGGATTCGGAAATCGCCACCCCAGATTAGAGGTTGCCCGCGAATACACCACTTGCGCACGAAACTTTCCACAGGTCAGGTCGGATTGATCTCCCGGTACCGAGGCATTTTTCGAATGCCTGGCTGTTGGACAGAATAAGCTCGGAGACAATTTGCCAGTCCTTCAGAACACGTTGCTTGGATGGGTTGTGTCTGGCAAGTATCGTCATCAGTCAGCTAAGCAGTCATCAACGTGCTTGCTTTCTGTGGAGGAGTCAATTGACAAAAATCTTTAATTACTGTGGAGCATTGATGCTCTAGAAAACTCTCCAAAGTGAATCAATCCAGAACATCGATGTTGCATGTCGTTGTTTTTAATCGCTCGAGAGTCGCCTCAGTCAGCAGACTACTGTTCAATCGCAATATGTAACCTTCATGAAAGAATATGAGGATCTTGGCCATATAACTTAAGTGACGAATCCGAGATTAAGTGAGCCACACTTTTATATACCTCACCATTGTGTTTTCAAACCCAGCAGTGCATCAACGAAGTTACGAGTCGTGTTTGACGCCTCGTGCACTTCATCGTCCCAGTATTCATTGAATGATTTGCTTCTCGTTGGCCCAACACTCCAAGAAGATCTGTATATACTTCTCCTTCGTTTTCGATCGGTTCGTTACGCCATCACAGCGGACATTACGAAAATGTATAGACAAGGTTTAGTCAGCCCAGTGGATCGGAAATTTCAATATATATTTTGGAGAGCATCCCCTGATGCTGATTTGCAGACCTTTGAGCTAAATACAGTGACGTATGGAATGGCCCCATACTTAGTAGTTCGCAGTTTGCAATATCTGGCAGATCTGCATGTTAACGTGTTTCCCATTGGCGCATCCATTGTTAAATCATCGTTTTATGTTGATGATCTGCTATGCGGAGCAAACGAGCTCATCAAGTTGCAGAACATCAAACACGAGGTCACCGAGATACTTCGCCGAGGACACTTCCCATCGGTAAAGGATTTAAACTTGGATGAAAACGCTGTCACTAGCGCACTTGGCGTAGCTTGGGATCAACGCCGTGATGTGCTACTATTTGAATTTAAACCCAAAAAATTGTATTCAACAGTCACAAAGAGGACTATTCTCTCGACTGCGTCTTCTCTGTTCGATCCATTTGGATTGCTGGCACCAATCATTATCGTCTCGAAAATCATCATACAGGAGCTATGGCTGTTAAAACTCGCCTGGGATAAATCTTTTCCGCAATCACTTCTACAAGCATGGAGAAACTGCGTAACGTCTCTCAAGGAATTGTCGTCGATTTCAGTACCCCGTTTTTGCTTGCAAGCTGAGCTCACTGACATACAACTGCACGCTTTCTGTGACGCATCAATACGTGCTTACGGCTGTTGCGAATATGTGCGTTCCACGGACTCGTGTGGCAATGTCCAGATTCAGCTTCTGTCTGCTAAATTTCGGGTGGCTCCTGTCAAGAAGCTGACGCTTCCTCGATTAGAGTTAAGCGGAGCTCAACTTCTGAGTAAGTTATATACAACTGTCAAAAACATATTCATCGGCAAGCCGCACAGCGCGCATTTCTGGTCTGATTCGCAGATTGTCTTGCACTGGCTGCAACAACACTCTATCACCTTGTCGACATTTGTTGGAAATAGAGTATCCATTATACAAGATCAAAGAGCAGATGGAAAGTGGAGACATGTACCGTCAAAATTGAACTCTGCTGACATCGTGTCACGTGGATGCCCAGCTAATGAGCCCAGCAATCAATTTGGTTTACAGGACCTGCGTTTCTGCGTGATTCCGAGACTCAATGGCCCTGCCAACAGTTCGACAATGATTTGGACATGGACATCATCGATGCTGAAAAACGGAAGTCTACATTTGCTGCAAATATCGAAAGTAATTATATTCTGGACTGGCTGAACGGAACTAGTTCATACATTCGAGCGCTTCGAGCTATGGCATATATGTTCCGGTTTTACTATATTGCCAAAAAGGAACACCCTGTCGAAAGTTCGCCGCTATGCCCGGAAGAACTTCGCCACGCGTTGCACTGCATCATCAGGATCATCCAACAGCACTATTTTAAGTAAGATTTGCAATTGCTAAGGAAACAAAGAGATTTGAAAAGCAATCTGAAATTTCTCAGCCCCTTCATAGATGACTCTTCTGGATACGAGCTCATTAAGGTTGGCGGCAGACTCGAGCATGCTGATATCCCCTCTCGTCAAAGGAATCCTTTACTTGTTCCCAAGGAATCGCAAGTTGTCCACAATTATGTTCGGCATCTTCACTTGCGCTATTACCATGCAGGACCAAAGGCATTAGTTGGACTGCTGCGGCTTCAATTCTGGGTCATAAACGCAAGAGCTTTAGCACGCAGCATTGTTCGTTCTTGTGTACACTGTGTCAGATATCGTCCAGTTCTATTTCGTCAAGTCATGGATTCCCTGCCACCTGAGCGCTTATCCACAGACAAGCCATTTCGCCACGTTGGAGTCGACTCCTGCGGTCCAGTGAACACCTATCTTCGAATACGTGGCAAGGGTCCCACAAAATCCTATATCGCCAAATATGTCTGCATGTCCGTAAAGGCCGTTCACATTGAAATCGTGTCAGATCTTTCAACGAATAAATTTTTGGAATCGTTAAAACGAATGGTTGCCCGTCGTGGACCAGTATCGCACATCTATTGTGACAACGCCACAAATTTTGTCGGAGCATCCAACAAGCTACTCGAGTTAAAGAAGTTCATGTTCAACACTAGCACTCAAGATGCTATCCTATCATATTGTTCCTCTGAAGAGATAACCTTTCATATCATTCCACCTAGGGCTCCACACTTTGGCGGTCTTTGGGAGGCCGCTGTCAAGAGCGCAAAGAGTCTGCTGGTGCGTACCCTCGCTAACACCCGGTTCACCTTTGAGGAACTGAACACCGCAGTCGTTAAGATGGAGTCAGTACTCAACTCTCGCCCGCTGTCACCGCTATCATCTGATCCCAACGACTTCAGCGCTCTCACTGCAGGACACTTTCTAAATGGAGAGGCACCGCGCGCTTTGCCCGAGCGTGAGATTATCACCAACAACATCTCCAACTTGGATCGTTACGAGCATATCACAGCTGTTAAACAGCAATTCTGGCGTCGTTGGTCTGCGGAGTGTGTGAACGAGCTTCGTGCCAGGACAAAATGGACTTCCGCTTCCCCAAATCTTACAGTTGACTCTATAGTCATCATACATGCAGACAACACACCGCCATTACACTGGAAATCAGGGCGTGTTGAGTCTGTTGTGAGTGGCAAAGATGACCGGGTTCGTGTCGCATATATTCGCACTGCCTCTGGACTCTGTTGCCGGCCAGTACATAAGCTGGCTGTTCTACCTGTCTCTTGAAAGATAATTCTTACAAGGCGGACGGGATGTTCGGTCATATATCTCATATATACATTAGTCAGGGTATCAATAGCAATGTCAAAGCAGATTATGTTAAGATTATGCTAATTCTCTTCTATTTGAATGCCATAAGCAGTCATACACATGTACGAAGCCTCGCTCTCTTTCGAACTCTATAATTGCTCGGTCCCTTAAATCTTAATTTATGTTAAGAAATCAGTTCTGTAAGCAATTTTATAGAAGTCAGTCGTGTTGCTCATCAATTTGTAAAGCCTTTATTAAAACTTCATATCATCCACACACGCCTCCTAGAGATAAGATTCTTAAAAGGTCAAAAAAACGCTTTTGATCCAACATTTTGGCGCCCAACATTGGGGCTAGTGTGTGGAAATTGATGGCATATCGTTGCTGCACAACATTTCGTTGGAAAAAGGTTTTATCAAACTCCTCGCAAAATACAGCATCGACAGCAACATTTGGCCAGCTCTTTTTTCCTGTTGCCGTTGCTTCGTCGCTGGAAACTCGCTACCTTCGCTTCGCTACTGCATTCTTGAACCCGTTACTTCGCGCTGGAAACGCTCTGAGTTTGATTGCTCATTGCCTTTGCCTCACATCTCCTTTCTCGTTGCCGTTGCTTCGTCGCTGGAAACTCGCTACCTTCGCTTTGCTGCTGCATTCTCATTCAATCAAATTATCGGTCGTGAGTACTCTCTTTCGAACATTGAAAAGTTTAATCATCTGCTGAATTGCATGAAGGGCCATGCCCTACAGGCAGTAAAGGCATTCCAAGTGACTCAGGAAAATTATCCCAAGGCTCTTGCTCGTTTAAGTGAACGTTATGACAATCCTACACTTACATTTTTAGACACAATAGAATCACTATGATCGATTTGGTTTCCCTACTTCTGTTTTGCATTATAATTCTTTTTATTAAAAAGATAGGACCTAAAGAGTATTGCTGAGGCTGATTACCTCAAAACTGCTTCACGTTTCTTCTGGTGCTCCTCAAGGTGCACCATCTTGGTCCTTTACTCTTTTTATAATAAGTCTCCCCTCGGTTATATCACATGCATTTGGACGATGTGAAGCTTATTCTCTCATACACTAATCTCCTTTATCATTCTCGCCTACAATTTTGGTGTCCGATCAATCAATTGCATCTACATTGCTCAAAATGTATGTTAATGTCCTTCAATCGTACTATACCTTATCTTGTCATTAATTCCATCGACAATGTATAGTTACAGATAAGGACCTATGCGTGCCTTTTGATACTGAAGTCTGAAGTTTGAGTTTTTAAATAACTATGAGGATTGAGGCATGAGGCGTGCACTTGAAGTTATTCAACGTTGCTCTAAAGCGTTTAACGATCATTTCATAACCAACCTCCTTGTTCACTTACCCTTGATCCTAGCCAGTATCGTATTGCATCAACTCAGAAGCAATTTCTGCTTTTTTCCTTACGAGGCTTACATTCTAACAACAATCGTCGGGTGCCATTCTAATCCAGCAGGCTTATTCTTCTAGATCTTCCGTCATTAATCAACCGTAGGACAATCATTGGTGTTGTCTTCATACATAAGTTGATTGTTGGCGACATAGTTTTTTCTTTTCTGTTAGGGCGTCTTCAATTCTCAGTTTCATCTAGACTTACCAGGAATTTTTCATTTATTTAATGGTCGACAAAAACGAGAGTCTTCTTATTATTAAATATATCAAATTCTAACAATTTTTTTCTAAAAGCCTAATTAGAATATACAATTTTCTAATCGCATCACCGACCGATGGAAGTGTTTCATTTGACCGTCCGGCCAGCTATGCCTCTTTTCTCAGCTAATTTTGTCAGTGACGCTATTTGAGCCTACATCTAAGAAGAAAGGTATTAGTAAAGAAATAGGTGTTTCTAATTAAAAATATGAAATAATTTTAATTTTATATTTTTACAAAAGATAATATAATAAATATGAAAAAAGAAAGGAAGAAGTTTTAAATAAAGAAAAGAAACTTAAGGTAGATACAGAGTGTAGGGGATAGGATTACAAGATAGGGGAGACCATTTATAAAAAGAGTAAAGAGTAAGATCCAAGACACTAAAAGTAACGTGAAACTCTTTTGAGGTAGTCAGCCTCAAAATTATTCTTTGGGTCCTTCCTTTTGAATTAGAAGAAATTCAATGCAAAAGAAACGGGGGAAACTTATACGGTCGAGCTTAAGGAGTAATAGATCATGGAGCACTAAGTCAAACGGCTAACTGAAGTCATTGTTAATGACATCAGTTTGCATTTAAGAAAGGAAAGCATAATTTACCAAGGAAGTAAATTCTAGCAAATTGATCGTAGTGAACCGATGCATTACCAATCCATGTTGAACAGGGCAGACAACTGATTTGCAGAAATGCTGCAACTTCGAAGCTATTATTTTTTCAAATGACAGAATGACAGAACATTCAAGAAATAGATTGACAAAAAGGGAAGAACTACAATCCTTAAGTAAAACGCTAGGAATATTGTCAGGCCCAAAAGGGTAGGAATATTTTGAAGAATATATTTTGCTGAGAGGAGAGAGGACTGGGAAATATTAGGACAGATATAGAAGTAGAGAAAGTAATAGTATAAGGGTCAGAACTATTTTGAGAACAGACTCAAGTTCAACTTGGCTATCGAATATTTAGCTAAGTTTGTTCTAGAACCAAACATATTTAACTTATTAAAATATGTAGATTTTTTATTTTTTAGGTTTGATAGTCTGGAAGTCAGCCAGAGTGACTTTGAAGAAGCAGTCGAGGAAATTGGACGGGGAATACACACATCTAAGAGGAAGTTTAGGGTATTATAAAAAAATAAATAGCAGTATTCATATAATCCGAACCATAAAAAAATACAAATCGGCTGCCTGAATACGTTGATTAAGCGGGGCTTCTGGTAGCTGGTGTATGAAGAATAAGAGGATTGCAATTGAACATTATAACCTCTAAAGAAGGATGAAATACATCCTCTGAAAGAAATAAAGGAGGGTAATCTTAAGCAAATACAAAATCAAGTGTTGTATCAAAGTGATTAGAAATTGAATTGATTTGAAATAATGAAAGGTCTATCATGCAATCTTCAGAGCCATACTAAGCCGAGCGTACTAGATAATTTTCGGCAGTGAATAATGACCAAGAGATGTTCGGTAAATTTAAATCACCCAGCACTATAAATAGGTCATTATCATGCACGTGTGAAAAAACGTCATTAATACAAGTAATATGTTTCATATAAGCTTGAATATCAGAAGAAGGAGGAACATATCAGCAAGTGATAAGTGTAAATAAAGCGTAATGGAAGAGTCACCTTAACTGAGACAATATCACCGTCAGTAGGCAAACTAAAATAGAAAAGTTGTGAATGGAGAATGGTTGTAACTTAACTTTAAACTTGCCACCGAGGGGCATCAACAGTCAAACCAGGAGCTGATGGGGCTGAAGGTAAAACTTGAGTTGATGGGTCAAAAGAGCCACCGATATTGATTTGAACAATCTGGGCTTGATTGCGCGCAGGTCTACCATAGCGACCAGAAGCTGACGGGGCTGAAGCAGTTTCGTTGACTACAGGGTCTACAGGGACTATTCCAGGGGATACAACAGGAATTTGGACAATCACTTGGAGAGGACGATATTGACAACATTGGAGATAAATCCAAACTGCTAGGCACGGACAAAAGAGGCGTAGGTACTTGGACAGACGGAGAGGGTAAAGGCGAAAATTGAGGTTCTAACCGCCATTTGGGCGAAGACTATTTGTATTTGCTAAACAACTCAAAACTCGAGTAGAAGTTACTAGAGAGCTGGTTCAGTTTTCAGAATTGGTTACTCACAGAATTATACATTCTGGAGAAATTAATTTGCTTGTCGATGCATACTGGGCACGACCGCAAGGCGCCGCATCCTTTTATAGCAATAACAGCATTAAATAACAACATTAAAAACATTATTTAGAGCAAAAGTTTAAATATGCATCAGCAATCACACGCACAAACAAGTGTATGCACAGGGGAGCACCTAAACAAAAGAATCAAAACAGTCAATAGAAACAACAGGGAACTGACACCGCGTTTAATAAACGACAGAATTAACTGCCTAACGCTGCACAACTGATAGATTTTTGCACAAGTAATTAAAGTTTTTTAAATAAAAGAATAAGAACAAGTAAAAGTTCACTTGGCAGGGTTCGAATTGGCAACTGACCCCATTACAGCAACAAAAAAAAAGAAGTACTTTCCCCGGTAGAGCTCGAACTCGCGACAGACCGCACCATTTGCTATGCCTCTATTCAGCAGCCACACCAATAATTAAGTACTTATGATAAAAAAAGGAAATTAAATAGCATTACAGAAAAAAGTTGCAATCACCATGCTGTTAGCATGCGATAGAATGCGAAGTAGACGCGCATGAATGTGTGTGTGTACATGTTAAGAGAAATTCTTAAAGCTGCTGCCCCATCCAATTGCCCAGTTGCAATTCTCTACAGTATATCTTATTGTACCATAGAATACTTGTGTATTCTGAAAAAGTCAATTATATTACAATTGTGGCTTAAATTGGTTGGCAATAAAAGTTGGGTTATTAACTTGATTTATAGCTCTGGGGTGGTAGCGGTAACTTACTCCGTTTCCAAGCAAGCGACAAAAATCGATATCGACATATTGTTTTTTGAGTAAATTGGGTAAATAATAAGAGCTAGAGGCACCAAATATGATATGTTGCTTCTAGAATATTATATATATGTCAAGTATCTTTTATTTTATACCTATCGCCACCTCCCCACAGTTTGTTCCTGTTACCATTGGACTCGATCCCTTTTTTACCAACGACTCAACTTGTTCTGTTGTATGGCGATCTTGATGGCCTGATTATGCCGTTGTTTAGCGATAGTTTAATTTCATTGCTTACGAAATGTGGCATACCCATGGGGTGGGGGTACAATTACGAGTAGACTTCATTCTTTATTTTTTGTTAGAATTTTAGCGATAACTGAACTTTTAAAAGGCAATGCATCATTAGATGTCAAAAACACCTTTTGCATTTTTAGAATCATGTCCAAAAACTCCTTTTTGACCGAGGAAGGCACCACAATGTCATTGACATTATTGAATGTTGCACTGTAACAGACGTAGATCTCCAACTTTTCTCGTCTGTCTAGATATGTTTTGCAGATTTAACGTAACGCCAACCTGCGTCAGCAGGATAAAGCCTATTATAGCGTCAAATGCGGTCAGCTTGTCTACAAAAAAAAAACGAAGAGTCCTGGCCACATATCT